CCACCCCCTCCACACCCAGTTGAGCACCCGGCTGATGGTGCGATCCTGGGCAGATGCGGAGGCCACAGTGGCAGCCGATACAGGCGCTGCCGGAAGATCCTCAATCAGAAGGAGCGATGAAGCTGGAGCCGGGTCTTCCACAAATGCTGGAAGAGGGCAACGGCTGAGGGCGTCAGCATGGCCCATCGATTTCCCCGGGCGATGGATGAGCCGGTAGTGGTAGGCAGCCAGGAAAACAGTCCATCGCAGCATGCGTGGTGAGAGGACCGGTGGAGTTGGACGATCACCGGCGAGGAGGCCCAGGAGTGGCTTGTGGTCAGTGATGAGGTCAAAAGTCCTGCCATAGAGGTATTCATGGAACCTCTTCACTCCAGCCACAAGTGCCAATGCCTCCTTGTCGAGCTGGCTGTAATTCCGTTCCGTCGGAGATAGTGTCCTGGAAAAGTAGGCGAGCGGTGCTTCTCTTCCATCTGGAAAACGGTGACTAAGGACAGCACCGATGCCAAAAGGTGAGGCGTCGCAGGCAAGGACCAGCGGCCTGGATTCACTGTACTGTACCAGCACACTGTCTGAAGAAAGGAGAGCCTTGACCGCGTTGAAGGCCGCCGTCTCCCGATGACCCCAGGCCCAAGGCGTCTTAGTGCTAAGGAGTCGGTGAAGAGGCTCAGCCACTGTGGCTTTGTGGGGCAGGAACATGTTATAAAAGTTCAGCAGCCCCAGGAATGCCTGCAACTCCGTTTTGTTCTTTGGGGTGGGGGCCTGCTGAATAGCGCGGATCTTGGATGTGGTTGGATGAAGACCGGAGGCATCGATAAGATAGCCCAGGAACTCTACCTGTGGAACGGCGATCTGGCACTTCTCCCTCTTTACCTTGAGCCCGGCCTCCTGGAACCTGGTCAGCACGGCACGGAGGCGCTCGAACAGCTGCTGGTGTGAGTCTGCAGACACCAAGACGTCATCAAAATATGGTACCACGCCCGGAAGCCCTTGCAGGAGACGCTCCATAAGGCTTTGGAAGATGCCAGGAGCCACACTCACCCCGAACTGCAACCGGCGGCAACGGAAAGCCCCCGGTGGGTGACGATCGTCTGGGCTTCAGCAGTGGCATCATCGACTGGCAGTTGTTGATAGGCTTGGGCAAGGTCCAGCTTAGCGAAGACCTTACCCTCACCCAGGGAATGCAGCAGGTGTTGGACAACAGGAACCGGATAAGCGTGCTGCTGAAGTGCCTTGTTGATCGTGCACTTGTAGTCAGCGCAGATTCTCACCGACCCATCTGGCTTGACAGGCGTGACGATGGGGGTTTCCCACTTTGCGTGGTCAACCGGCTCCAAAACTCCTTGGGCGATCAGTTTGTCCAGTTGTTCGTCCACCTTAGCCTTGAGAGCAAAGGGAACCCGGCGTGGCTTTAGCTTGATGGGGGCGACTTGTGGATCAAGGCTAAAGGAGATGGGCGTACCTGTATATTGGCCCAAGGTGCCGTCAAAAACCTCGGCAAAGTCTTTGACCAGACCCTCAGTCTCTGCGTTAGAGATGCAGTTGATGCCGGTGACTTCCAGGCCGAGGGCATCAAACCAGTCTAGCCCTAGGAGGCTTGGCCGCTGACCTTCGACCACCACCAACCGGAGCAGGCCCGAAAAATCCTTGAAAGCGATCCGGAACCGGCCAACGCCTACCACGGGAATGTCGTTTCCCTGGTAGTCTCTCAGGTGTACGCGGTGAGAGTCGAGTTGCCTTTTGGACACTCTGGGTACCAGTCTTTTGATGGTGCTCCATGACACGATGGACAGGGCAGACCCGGTGTCGATCTCCATGTCACAAGGAGCTCCTTCAATGAGCACCGTGACGTTCAGCTTGCGTCGCGTAGGCGAGTCGGTTTGGCCAATCGTGGTTCCAGACGGGCAGCGGCAGTTGGTGAGAGCGAAACAACTTTCCTTGGCAGACTGGAGTGAAGACTTGGACTTGCGAGTCGATGAAGGGGGGGTGTCAGACGGAGCCGATCGGCAGACCTTAGCGATGTGGCCCCTTCTGGAACACTTCCTACAGATGGCGTCTCTGAATCGACACTTGGCACGGGAATGGTTGCCTCCGCAGCCAGCACATTCCGGTTGGCCCTTGGACTTCTGTTGGAACTTCCTGCGCTCCCGCTTTGTCTGGTGCACGTCATCGTCTTCACTGGAGGATGCCTCATCACTGCTGGCCTCTTCATGATGCACTGGAACTGGCTCCCTAGCAAGACGCGGGCTGCTGGACTTGCGGATCTCCTGGGCGGAGCGTTCAGCAGCTTCTGAGGCCACAGCCTCCTCAATGGCTTTCTGTAGCGTGAGGTCTGGCTTGGCTAGGAGGCGCCGTTGCAGATGGATGTCCCGGACCCCGCAGACAATTCGATCCATCAGGGCATCGTCTAAGTCTCGGAACTCACAGTGCATTGCAGCCTGTCGCAGGGCGGTGGTGTAGTTGTTGATTGACTCCCCCTCTGCCTGGTTCCGGTGGTAAAACGCATGGCGGGCAGCAATCTTGGACGGCTTTGGTGCGTAGTGGTTGCGGAGCTTCTCTTGGATCCTGTCCCATGGTGTTGCCTGGACTGCTTCAGGCGCAACCAACGCTCGGGCCGTCTCAAACACCTCAGGCCCACAGAGGCTGAGGAATAGGCCCCGCTTCCGCTCCTGTGATACTGCTGTCAGCTCGTTGGCTTGGAGGTAGCAGTCGAACCGAGCGAGGTAGGAGTCCCACGATTCAGAGGCTGGCGCAAACGGCGGTAGAGGCACAAGTGAAGCCATGATTCCGATGCCGGCGTGAAGGGCGATGGATGGAACACAGTGCTCTAGCCAGAACAGTCAGCTCTGAATTGGTTCTGCCCAGTGATTTCGCTCAGTGATTTCGCTCTGTGATTCAGCTCAGTGATTCAGCTCAGTGATTCAGCTCAGTTCAGAGGCTGGCCGCATCTGGCTGTGCTCTGATGTCCATCAATCCCACCTTCGTCGCCAGGGTTAAGTCGTGGGTTGACATAGCAGCCGGCACAGCGATTTCTTCAAGTAGCTCTTTATTATGGTAAGCTGGAATACAACTGACTGCGAACAGCTCAGCCGGCCTGTATTTATAGGCAGCCGGCTGTCAACATTGTAACCACAACAGCCCAGAGTTCCCGCCTAAAATAACTGCCGCGGACCTGAGTGAAAACTATCTACAGACCTGAGTGAAAACTATATACAGTATCCCCCTGTTGGCCCAGGGTGAAACTACACTACATAACAGAGTCCAACCCCCTGCCAAGCAGGAAACACCATCAGAGCACTCCTGACATATGGTTGTCAAGCCTCTGCTTAAAGACCTCCAAAGAAGGAGACTCCACCACACTCCTTGGCAGCAAATTCCACTGTCGAACAGCTCTTACTGTCAGGAAGTTCTTCCTAATGTTTAGGTGGAATCTTCTTTCTTGTAGTTTGGATCCATTGCTCTGTGTCCGCTTCTCTGGAGCAGCAGAAAACAACCTTTCTCCCTCCTCCATATGACATCCTTTTATATATTTGAACATGGCTATCATATCACCCCTTAACCTCCTCTTCTCCAGGCTAAACATGCCCAGCTCCCTTAGCCCTTCCTCATAAGGCATCGTTTCCAGGCCTTTGACCATTTTGGTTGCCCTCCTCTGGACACGTTCCAGTTTGTCAGTGTCCTTCTTGAACTGTGGTGCCCAGAACTGGACACAGTACTCCAGGTGAGGTCTGACCAGAGCAGAATACAGTGGCACTATTACTTCCCTTGATCTAGATGCTATACTCCTATTGATGCAGCCCAGAATTGCATTGGCTTTTTTAGCTGCCGCGTCACACTGTTGGCTCATGTCAAGTTTGTGGTCAAGCCAAGACTCCTAGATCCTTTTCACATGTACTGCTCTCAAGCCAGGTGTCCCCCATCTTGTATTTGTGCCTCTCATATTTTTTTTGCCCAAGTGCAATACTTTACATTTCTCCCTGTTAAAGTTCATCTTGTTTGTTTTGGTCCAGTTCTCTAATCTGTCAAGGTCGTTTTGAAGTGTGATCCTGTCCTCTGGGGTGTTAGCCACCCCTCCCAGTTTGGTGTCATCTGCAAATTTGATCAGGATGCCCTTGAGTCCATCATCCAAGTTGTTGATAAAGATGTTGAATAAGACCGGGCCCAAGACAGAACCCTGTGGCACCCCACTAGTCACTCTTCCCAGGATGAAGAGGAACCATTGATGAGCACCCTTTGGGTTCGGTCAGTCAGCCAGTTACAAATCCACTGAGTGGTAGTATAGTCAAGACCGCATTTTGATATCAAACCAGGAAAGGTATTAAAATAGATAACTAAACAGAAAAGGATGCTGTGATCCTTTTCTGATCCCCAGCATGGGTTTCTCAAAAACAAATCTTGCCGGATGAATCTTGTCTTCTATGGGGGCTTTTAAGCAGAGGTTGGATGGTCATCTGCCATAGATTATTTAGTTGAGACTCATGCATTGCAGGGGCTGGACTAGATGACCCTCAGGATCCCTTCCAACTTCACAATTCTGTGATTCTATGTGCAACACATTGAGCCCCTTGGAGGAAAAGGTGGGGCACAAATTGAGTACGTACTAAACCACTAGCGAGGGATGAGGGGTTATGAATGCTTCACAAGCTTGGGAATAAAAATTAAGATATTAATCTGTACAGAGCCATGCTCACTGATGTCGCTATGTAAATAAATAAATGATGATGATGACGAATGTTTTGAAGAACATACAGGTTTCCTGCAAAACCCTCAACTGCTTTCTAGGGGAACAAACACAGAGACACTCACGCACTCTCAGCCAAGGTCACCCCTCTCTTCTGCGCCCCCATGCGCGCCCCCTACCGCGCGTTTGCACGTAGGGGAATCAGAACTAACATCAACCCTGCCGACCTCCCAAACCGCTGGACAGCGCCACACTCTTGCCCACACATTCTAAGGGCAAAGCGACGCGGAAGCGGCTTCGGCGTGTCACTCTAACGGCGCGAGGAGCAAGGCGGAGACACGGAAGCGGCCATTGTTCCTCCCGCAAGCGACGGGGGGGAAAGGGTTCGCCGCCAACACAGCCGGGGACATGCCTGCGGGGAAGGCTTTCCGTCGGAGGAAGGTGGACTCTGACGAGGATGACGAGGATGCGCAGGTCACCGAGGAGGTCCGGTGGGTGCTAGGGGAGTGCACGACACGCACACCCCACCTTAGTTAAACATCGGGGTTGGAAAGTGGTTTGGGGGTCGGATTCTCTTGCAAAGTGGTTGGTACGTTTATTTTAATGACGACTGTTGTTGTTGTCCTCCAAAAAGCTCCAGGAAAGGTTCGTGGTTCACTTTCCTTCCTCCGTGCTGTATTGTATCTTCACAGCAGCTTTGTAAAGTAGGTTAGGCTGAGAGATTGGCCCAGCTTCATAAAGTAAGCCCTTCATAGACTGAGCAGGATCTGTTCTCAGACGTCCCTGGTTTAATTAACCACTACAATCACGCTGGCTCTTAGTAGAAGAGATATGTTTTTCTTTATATTTTTCTACAGCAGGGTCCAGGGGGCAACATGTTCTTGATATCTTCTCCTGGTACCTGTGATGCTTCTGAGTCTGCCCCTCCAGCTTCCTTGGACATGAGTTAGTGCGGGTGGTTACCTTTTCCCCTTTGTATTATTTGTATGCTGCTTTTCCACCCACAAAAAAGCATGCTCACTGTGGCTTACAACAAAGAAACAGGGGTGCATTTCAAACATACACTTCAAAAACAATTTCATAATACCATACCAGAACCATGGGCTGGGAAATGGTTGCTGGGTAGCAGGGCCTCCTGTGGTCCTGCCTTGTACCAGCTAGGCTGAACTTGCCCTAGATGAAAACCTGGCACACTCCTTTCTAGGGTCTGCCCTGCGCAGTAACAGGTGTGAGCATTCTAGCAGCAGCTTGATGGTCATGTATGATACTGCATACGGATCTGTTGCGACATGCAGAGAAAACCCAGACTGTGTTCTGTACTGTCACTGACTGACTTAGATACGGCAATATCTGAATTGAAAGACAGGCATAGGCCATAGGTTCAGGCTACAAGGGGTAAGTTGCCCAGTTTAATGTTTTTTAACTTTGGTAGACTTAGTCATAGATTTGCAAAAATCATTTGTTATGCTGATTAAACTTTGCCCCTGTTTCAGATTGCCTCTGGGCAACATATTATTCAATATTACCAATTTATTCAAGACTGCCTATTTATTATACTGAATAAATTATTTGGTATATGCAAAGAGATTTGAGGAGGAATGTGAGCCCTTCAAAGTGTTTTTGGAATCTGAAACAGAATTAAAATTGGTAATCCTTTTAAAAAAATAATCAAAACCAAAATATAATAGTATACCAAAACCCACATCTCAGTACTATAAATATAATAATATTACTTAAAACAACATGCAGCATCCAATAGCAACAATAACAAGGGAGCTTCACATTTTCATCTTAGCCCTAGAACCACCCTTCCCAGGATGTTGCTCACAGTCCCCTTTCCTGCAACAGCTTCTTATAAGGTTTCCAAGGGTGGGGCAGCAGCTGGAAACACCCCTCCCATGATATCGCTCCATAGAGCAGAGGGCAGAAGTAAGGAAGAGAAATAGAGCTAAAGGGGGAAGAGTGTTTAATTCTACTGAATCTTAACTTTTATCCAGACCCCTTGGGAAAGTGATGTGTGCATGAGTACACATTTTCTGTCTCTCATGAGGGTGGGGGCTTGTCTGGAAGAGACAAGTGCCTGGGGTAGTGAGTGCTCACAACACATTATCAAAAATTCAAATGTGCCCATAGGCCCAAAAATGTTGATAATTCCCAAGGAATAATTTATTTCATTTTGATTTAATATTTATGTGCTTTTTCCAGCAGCAGGGTATCTAGAGGGGGTGGGCGGCAGGACACACTGGGCACTACTTGCACTTACCATGGGGCCTGCAGTGCACCTGAGCCACACATCTCTCCTAGGAGTGACAAGGTGGCTCTGGTGCCTGCAGTCACCACACCACCTGAAAGGGTAGTGTGAGGCTCATGGCCACCGGCCGCCTCCCCCTCATGCAGGACATGGACTCCTGTAAACCACCACACCACTTGAAAATGGTTTCCCATTCCCTATTGTGAGTTTATGTGTTGTGTCTCCCACCCCCCACAGGCTAAAACTAGAGGAAGCAAAAGAAGTGCAGAGTCTAAGGAGGAGGCCAAATGGAGTGAGGTAAGTGGTGTCCAGGAGTTCTTCTAACTGTAAAGATCCTCAGACTTCAGAGACACTGTGGCCATGGATGTCTTTGATCTGTTGTGGGACACTGACTTCCCAAGAAGCTCAGCTTTTTTTCCCTGGGGATTCATTTGCTTTTGAAAAGTTTCAGGTACCCATGATTGCAAAACTAATTTTTGGCCATGCTTGCTGGGGCTGATGGGAGTTGTCTGGAGGAAGTAGCTCACATATTCTCTCACAACAACTCTGCAGCATAGATCGGACAGAGAAAGAGTGACCGGCCTGAGGTCACCCAGTCAGATTCATGGCTGCATGAGGATTGGAACCCGAGCCTTTACCCAGCCTGGTGCCCTCCAGATGTTTTGGACTACAGATCTCATCTGTTCCAATATCATATGATTGTGTTGACTAGGGCTAATGGAAGTTGTAGTCCAAAAACATCTGGAGGTCATCAGGTTAAGGAAAGTTACTCTAACCAGTATTCCTACACCACACTGGCTCTGAATACTGTTCATTCAGGTGCCACTGGTTGCTGCAGATTGCCATGCATTGTCAAACCTGAGAGCACATTGGGAGCGTTGCTGCTGGATGACCTGAATTTCTTTTGTGTATTTGAAGTGCGGCTGCTCTGCTCGTGGGGGAGAAATTGCAAGAAGAAACCACCCTGGCGGTAAGATTGAACTTTTGTCATTTATCTTACCTAGATAGAACCGTAAAAATAAAAAAAATCAAAAAAAAATCAAGATCCTTAGGCACAGTTCATCACCTTTTCTTCTTTTCCCCCTTTGCCTGTCCTAAACAAGGCTGACAGAAACATTTCAGATTCCTAGCTGATGGTGTTACGTTTTCTCTGCACAATATTGACAAGGGCTCTGTTTGAACTGCTTTAGCAGTTCTTATGGGATCCAGTTGACCTCGGCAAAGTTAGGACTTCATTACTTACAAATAGATTGCCTTAAATGTTGTTTTAGATGTGAACGTGATCTTATACAGTGGAACCTTGGTTCTCAAATGGCCTAGTTGCCGAACAAATCGGCTCCCAAACACCGCAAACCCGGAAGTAAGTGTTCTGGTTTGCAAATGTTTTTCAGAAGCCAAATGTCCGACGCAACTTCCACTTGAGTGCAGGAAGCTCCTGCAGCCAATCGGAAGCTGTGCCTTGGTTTTCGAACGGTTTCGGGAGTTGAACCCCGGAACAGATTAAGTTCGAGAACCAAAGTACCACTGTATTAAACTTGATCACTTTTATTCCGCTTCTGTTGTGTGCAATAGATGGATACCATATAAAAGAAAGTAGGGTGAGTTAAATATGTGTGTTGTTATCAGCCCGACCCCTAGTAAGTGCAGAACTGTTACAGAATTCTTTACCCTTAAATAAGCATTCATAAAAGTACAACCTTACAGTGCAATCCTGACTGGGTTTACACAGAAGTAAGTTCCACTGAATTCAGTGGGAATTAATTCAAGGGAAGTGAATGTGTACGATTGCAGCCATCCTGTGTACACCCACCTGAGAGTGAGACCTATCGAGCACAGCAAGACTAACGTCTTAGAAAACATGCCCTATGACATTTGTGTGATGGAAATGTAGCCCAATGACGTATTCCTCTGGCCCCACCCACCACTGGAACGTGTCCCCCATGAAGGGATACAGCCCTCTGGCTGGGGAAAAAATCCCCACCTCTGTTATACTGCAATAAGTAGGATCAGATCATGGACTGTCTTCCTTCCTCTTCCCACCAGGATGATCCCTTTAAAATAAAGACCGGTGGAATGGTGGACATGAAGAAACTGAAAGAACGGGGCAAGGAGAGGTATGGAGAAACATTCCATACTCAGATAATAAACAAAGAATACTCTCACCCAATAATTAGCAGATAAACAACTTTTTCCCCCTTTAACCACCCCACCCAAAAATCTGTTATCAGACTAGCTGTTGCAAATCATTGGTGAGTGGGTCCAGCATCCTCCTCCAGGGATGGTCCGGCATCTCTCCTCTCCCTTTGGGGGAAGCAGTAGCAAGGAAAAGAAGGAAGACTGTAGCAAAAGTTCTACCTGCTTTGCTGTTGGTATGGCTACTGCTAGCACTGGTATCAATATATCGCCCAGGACCAGTACCAGGACCAGCAGGGGGGACCGCAATGACAGCTTCACTCAGCGGTATATCGTTGGTGATACCACCACCACTCTTGAGTCCCTCTGTCTCCAGTGCCCAGTGTGCTGAGGAAGAAAAAAATCGAGCCAGGAGCTAGAGGCAGAGGGACTCAAGCGGCAGCAGTTTCTCCAGTGATATACTGCTGGTGAAACTTCCATTGCACTCTGCCCTGGCATCGCTGATACAGCTTGTTCCTCCCTCTGCTTCTTTAAACTGTTTGGCTAATGAACATACTGCTGCCATCCCCTCAGCAAAGCAGCTCTATGGAGCCCCCAATCCACCACCAGCTTGCAGGAGCCACCGGTGGGAAGGGGGCACCGTTAAAGTTCTCCCCCTCTACAGCTGAGAGAGCCCCTACCCCGCTCCTCCTTGCATGCGAGTAGGAGCGAGAACGGGGCTCCTCAGCTGGGAAGTGCAAAGCCCGTCCTTCCCTGGTGATAGAACCACGACCCCACTCCTGCTTGCGCACAAGTAGGAACAGGATCGGGGCTGCAGCCTTGGTTTGGCTACCGCCAGGCTGCCTCCATCTGGGAGGGTGTGCTGCACCTTTCCTACCAGAAAGACAGAGCTCACCCTCCCAGTAGAAGGCAGTCAGGTGGTGTAAGGATTCTTTGATGCTGCTTGCAGGCCCAGCCCTTGCCAGCAGCCCCTCTCCCCAAGTCACGGATAGGGTGGCTTCACACCTCGCGCCTTGCAGACTTTGCCCGGGAGGGTGGACTCTATCTTTCCTCCTGGGGTGAACAACCCCCAGAAAAAAGAGGCAGTGTGCACCCACACAGGCTAAGGCTAAGGCAGTCAAAAGCACGAAACCTGAAACGCACTCACCCACCCCTCACACTGGCAAAGGCAGAGGCAGCCTGGCCAAGGAGCCCCAGGGTCCTTGCTGCTCAGGCACGAGTGGCAGGGACACCGGAGCTGGCTCTGCTGGGGGCAGGCACCCTCCTGCCCCCAGCAGAGCCTGGCCAAGGAGCCCCGATTCCCCTGCTGGTCATGCACAAGTGGCAGGGGACTCTGGGGGCAGGAGCCTTTTCGCACCCCCAGCTGAGCAGCAGGCTGGAGCAAGCTGTATTGGCCACAGCCTGCAAAGCACCAAGGTGAAAGTGCCTCAGCTCCTATGGTGAGAGCTGTAGCAGTTTCACCTGGCACCTCGCTGACTGGGGCCAGTACAGCTTTTTACAACATCACAATTTATCGCCAAACCACAGTGTTTGGCTGGTGATACACTGTGATGTTGAAAACCCAACATCACCCAGCCCTAGCTACTGCTCTCCTGCTGCTGGTGGTGTTGGCCACCACAGCATCTTTTGGGGGTGAATTTCACAGTTTAATTATGCACTATGTAAATAAGTACATTCTTTCGTCCCATCTTCCAGCATTCAGCTTCACTGGATGGCCCCAAATTCTAGTATTACTGGAGAAGGTGAAACAGTTCTTTATCTGTCAAAATAAATGAAACTTTAAAATGCTTATCTTTGACTACATCAGAATCATGGTGTGGTATACATTTGCTAGCTCAACTGTAGTTTAGAGGAAACCATGGTTTGGCTTAACATCTCAGATGAGACATTGACATTTTAACAAATTATTTGTTACTGGTTAAAATAGCTCCCCCACCTCCCTGTCTCTTTTTTTCCAGGATCAGCGAAGAAGAGGACCTCAACCTTGGGACTTCTTTTTCCGCAGAGACCAACAGGAGGGATGAAGATGCTGATATGTAAGAATCTTGTCACATCCTGTTTAGTAGACTAATTTGGCAGGAGTAAGGACTCCTTTATTGTCCATAGTGCACACTTATCATTCTTACCGTCCAAATGTTCCTGTTGGCACTTCCTGTTGTTCTGTGCTTAAGAACATAAGAAGAGCTTGATTGCTGGATGATTCCAAAGCCCACCTCAATCCAACATCTTGTTTTGTACAATGGCCAATCAGATACCGTATTTTTCGCACTATAGGACACATTTTTTCCCCTCCAAAAATGAAGGGGAAATGTGTGTGCGTCCTATGGTGCGAATGCAGGCTTTTGCTGAAGCCTGGAGAGCGAGAGGGGTCCGTGCGCACCGACCCCTCTCGCTCTCCAGGCTTCAGGAAGTTATCCCAAGTCTTGCAAGCCCGGCGGGATGTCCCGCGGGCTCGCAAGGCTTGCGGGCAGCAGCCTGCACCCAAAAGCTGGGGACAGCGGGGAGGCGCAGAGCCGCCACCCCGCTATTCCCCGACCTGATCTGGAGGCTGGCGGGGGGAGAAGCAAGCCTGCTTCTCCCCCCCAGCCCCACAAGCTCGGGGGATAGGGGGATGGCGAAGCGCCGCCATCCCGCTATTCCCCGACCTGATCTGGAGGCTGGGGGTGGGAGAAGCAAGCCTGCTTCTCCCCCCCAGCCCCACAACCTCCAGATCAGGTCGTGGAATAGCGGGATGGCGGCGCTCCGCCATCCCGCTATTCCCCGACCTGATCTGGAGGCTGGGGGTGGGAGAAGCAAGCCTGCTTCTCCCCCCCCCAGCCCCACAACCTCCAGATCAGGTCGGGAAATAGCGGGATGGCGGCGCTCCGCCATCCCGCTATTCCCCGACCTGATCTGGAGGCTGGGGGTGGGAGAAGCAAGCCTGCTTCTCCCCCCCCCAGCCCCACAACCTCCAGATCAGGTCGTGGAATAGCGGGATGGCGGCGCTCCGCCATCCCGCTATTCCCCGACCTGAACTGGAGGCTGGGGGCGGGAGAAGCAAGCCTGCTTCTCCCCCCCCCCAGCCCCACAACCTCCAGATCAGGTCGTGGAATAGCAGGATGGCGGTGCTCCGCCATCCCGCTATTCCCCAACCTGATCTGGAGGCTGGGGGTGGGAGAAGCAAGCCTGCTTCTCCCCCCCCCCCCGCCCCACAACCTCCAGATCAGGTCGGGGAATAGCGGGATGGCGGCGCTCCGCCATCCCGCTATTCCCCGACCTGATCTGGAGGCTGGGGGTGGGAGAAGCAAGCCTGCTTCTCCCCCCCACCAGCCCCACAACCTCCAGGCTTCAGGAGAGCCCCACCGCCAGCCCCACAAGCTCGGGGGGACAGCGGGAGAGGCGCAGCGCGCCCTTCCTGCTGTCCCCCGACTTGGCTAGAAGGCTGGCGGGGGGAGAAGCCTGCTCCTCCCCGTCGCCAGCCCCGCAAACTCGGGGGACAGCGGGAGAGGCGCAGCGCGCCTTTGCCGCTGTCCCCCGACTTGTCTAGAAGGCTGGCGGGGGGAGAAGCCTGCTCCTCCCCGTCACCAGCCCCGCAAACTCGGGAGACAGCGGCAGGGGCGCAGCGCGCCCTTCCCGCTGTCCCCGACTTGGTTAGAAGGCTGGCCCAGCCCCGCAAACTTGGGGGACAGCGGGAGAGGCGCAGCGCGCCATCCCGCTGTCTCCCGACATGGTTTGGAGGCTGGCGGAAGGCTTCCTCCTCCCCCAGCCCCGCAAGCTCCCAGAGCGATGCCAAAGCTGCGCGCAGCTTCGGCATGGCTCTGGGTCCCGTTCTGGGGGAGGGGGAAGCTCGGGCTTCCCCGCCCCAGCCCCGCGCCTGGCGGGGGGGGGGGGGAATAAATTTTTTTTGCCTTTATTTCCCCCCCCCCAAATCTAGGTGCGTCCTATGGACCGGTGCGTCCAATAGTCCGAAAAATACGGTACCTTCCGGAAGCCCACAAGAAGGGCAAAAGACCAATAGCCTACCCATATCATTTTTTGTCATCGTCCCTCCACCCCACCCCAGCAATTGGTCTTCAGTGGTACAAGTAGGATTTGCAATAAAATACTGCCAAAAATCAATCTAGGCCCAGAGTCAGCCCAGTGACATTGGGCAGTCAGCAAGCCCATGGGAGGACCCCACCACCTACTCTGCTGCCAACCAAAAATGCTGACCACAGCCTGCCACCAAGGCCCTGTGTGAAGGCCTGGTGTTCTGACACCTGAAACTTAGCAGGGATGTGCAGCCCCACATAGATTGAGTGTGTTCTTGACTACTGCTCTTCTGACTCCCTGTTCAGGATGAAGTACATTGAAACTGAGCTGAAGAAAAGAAAGGGAATTGTGGAAAATGAGGAGCAGAAAGTGAAGCAGAAGAACGCCGAAGACTGTCTGTATGAGCTGCCTGAGAGCATCCGGGTCTCTTCAGCTAAGAAGACTGAGGAGATGCTGTCCAATCAGATGCTGAGCGGCATTCCAGAGGTGGACCTTGGAATTGAGTAGGTGACTTGGGTGGTACTTGTTTATTTCAAGCATTTTTACCCTTAAAAAAGGCTCTCAGAGCAGCCTGCAAATATTGGTAACAAGACGGTCTCAGAGCAATCCATAACCTCAACAAAATACCCATCAAATGGACTTGTCTGATTTAGGAACTACATGCAAAACTCCAAGCTGGTGAGTTTTAGGCATGTAGTCTATCTGGAGGTTCCACTGCGTCAAAGGCCTAAAAGAGAATCTCCAGTGGCCTTCACCCATTAATAAGCCAGGTTTTGTTTCCTAGCTGAATAGGGGGTCTCCTAACAAATTTTCAGCACCCTGAACAAACTACAGCTCCCAGGATTCTTTGGGAAAGCCATGTCTCCTTAAAGGGGTATGATAGTGCTTTATGTGTATAGTGCTGGTGATGCTTGGGTTGCCTTTCCCCACCAAATCTGGGGTGATCGTCTCTACTTTGTATGAAGAGAACCTCGTATACATATATTTCTTTTCCTTTCAGAGCTAAGATCAAAAACATCATTTCTACCGAGGAGGCCAAAGCACGATTGCTGGCCGAGCAGCAAAACAAAAAGAAAGATAGCGAAACCTCCTTTGTCCCAACGAACATGGCTGTCAACTACGTCCAGCACAACAGATGTGAGTCTCAGGCATGGCTGTGTTGCCCTCTTTGCATAAGGGCTGGTTGGGCAGACGCTGATCCAAACACTGGTCTAGTCCTCTTTGCCTGTGCTTTGGACAACCTGTTCTTTTTGACGGACTGCAGAGCATAAGTATTGCCAGAGAGAAGAGAAACCACACACAAACATGCCTGCTGTGATGTGAACAGGAACTAAATTGATTAAGAAATTGTTGTATGGGGGAATCAGTTCTGAGTAATCCTAGTAGGGAAAGGAAACTAAGGAGGTCTGACTAGTTTTGGTTTTGTATAGAATTTGGTAGCAGCATAGGCAGAGGGCCTTCTCGGTAGTGGCACCCGCCCTGTGGAACGCCCTCCCACCAGATGTCAAAGAGAAGAACAACTACCAGACTTTTAGAAGACATCTGGAGGCAGCCCTCTTTAGGGAAGCTTTTAATGTTTAACAGATCATTGTATTTTAATACTTTGTTGGAAGCCTCCCAGAGTGGCTGGGGAAACCCAGCCGGATGGGCGGGGTATAAATAAATAAATATATTATTATTATTATTATTATTATTATTATTATTATTATGCAAAGTAAAGCTTGTTCCTTCTAATCCAGTCACAGTGGCACATTTGTAATCTTGCAAATTCGACTCCTGGTACTGTGGTTACTGTCTTCTAGATGTTGGGTAAACTCTGGCCTGTTTTTTAGAGATCTGAATACTACTACCAGTTTAGCTGGAATCCTGAACTAATTGGGTAGACACTGAAACATTGTGTTGTAGGTCCCACTTACGTAATTTGCACTGTTATAATTTCTGTAAGATGCCTCGAGAGCATTGTTTTGAAGTGGTAGATAACCTATTGATGAATAAACTTACAAATGGTATTATCTCCAGCATCATCAGCATTACCACCATCATTTCTATACAGCTGTTCATATTCAGTGTTTTATACATTTCCAGAACTTGGTAAAAAATACTGGCTCAAATCACAGAGAGCACTGTATTCTCAGAACAGATGTTTAGGTGCTTCTGGAAATGCTTTCATCCCTGATGTAAACAAAAGTACTGGTTCAGACATAATGCTAAACCCTGGTAAAGGTAAATGAGCCTTTAAGGACCTTATGGTCTGCCAGCTACCCTTTCCTCGTTCTTCCTTCATGCATCATGATTGCCTCCCTTCCTGGTTTCAAAACTGTAGTGTGCTGCTCTGACTGAACTAGGTTTGCACTAACCCGTCACACCAGGATTGGAAACCATGGTTTCAAGAACAAGGCAAGCCATAGTTGCTGGTTTCAGATGCCATAGCAAACAGTGGTTTGATGAAACCAGGACAAAAATCTGAATTGAAGCAAACCAAATGCAGAGAAGAGAAGGAACCTTGGAACCCCAAAGACATAAAAGGCTCATTCACAAAGCCCAATACTATGATTTGGTGTTGGATCTGAATTGGACCGTTGTCTTAAACTCTGCTGTCCTGCATTATTGTAATATTCTGAATCCTTCCAGTTTATCATGAAGAGCTGAATGCACCAGTACGGAGAAACAAAGAAGAACCCAAAGCCCGTCCCCTCAGGGTGGGAGATACCGAGAAACCAGAACCTGAGAGTAAGTTCCTACAAAACATCAGTGTGTGGATATCTGGAATGCCTGTGTGTGTCCACAACTTGCATACATAAGCTGCCTTTGTCTTCTGACTCTCAGCTCTGAGGCGGTTAACATGCAGGTGGGGCATGAATCTTAGAGGGTCTTAAGTTTTACTCACAGTGGATGGATCCATTAAAAATTAACAACCATGACAAAGTTAGGTCCATTAATTTCAGTGGCTCTAATCTGAACAAAACTTAAATATCATTCAGAGACTTAACTATATATGGCCTTCATGCAGGTGGTCTGCCACTGAGCTGCATCCCTTCTCCATGCCTACGCTGCTGTAGTTCTCCTGCTCCAGGAAATATGTTCTTATATTCTCTTTCATAATAATCAGTTCCCGGCATAATAATTGCTTGTAGTGTTGGGGATTCAGAAATAGAACCTGGAGATTCTCTTTAGCTATCCTTGCTAATTTGGAAGATCTTTCCTACCACTGATAGACACATCCTCCACCAAGGAAAATGGAATCCTTCATAGCAGCATGGACCATTTATTTATTTTTTTAGCTTTGTCTATTTTACCCCTGAATGACAAGTTGAAATTTGTTCCTCTATGCAACTGTTTAAAAATATATAGGAGCCCCTGCCTCTTTTTTGCTTGTGGGCACCCTAAAGGAAGAAAAAAATAGGCATATATGATGTTTCCCATTTTTAAAACAAACAAGAAGTTACATTTGGGACTAATTCTGGATTAGGTCTGGAAAGGTTGAAGGCTACCTCTTGGCATCACATAGGCTTTTATTTAAATCTCATCGCTTATCATCTCTTTATAAAAGTTGATTTAATTAAGGTTCCCTCTTTCTTTATAACATAGGGTCCCCACCAAATCGCAAACGCCCCCCAAATGAGAAGGCAACCGACGACTATCACTATGAGAAGTTCAAGAAGATGAACCGGCGGTACTGAAGCTGGCTTTTCCAGAACGCAAAAATTCCTCTTCAGATATTAAGGGCAAATACACAGGGGACTTTGAGAAGGTGGGGGTTCGCTTAGAATCATCCCTGCAACTGGGAACTATTTTTGTAAACAGCTTTGTGGTTTTTTTGTTTGTTTTTGCACTCAAGCAGTGTTTTATGAAATAAAATAATTAAAATTACAGTGGAATCTCAAGCAAAGGGAAGATTCTAAGTGCATTTACCTTAGCCATGGGTAGACAAACTAAGGCCCGGGGGCCAGATCTGGCCCAATCGCCTTCTAAATCTGGCCCACGGACGGTCCGGGAATCAGCGTGTTTTTACATGAGTAGAATGTGTTCTTTTATTTAAAATGCATCTCTGGGTTATTTGTGGGGCATAGGAATTCATTCATTCCCCCCCCAAAAAAAAATATAGTCCGGCTCCCCACAAGGTCTGAGGGACAATGGACCACCCCCCTGCTGAAAAAGTTTGCTGACCCCTGACCCAAGCCTACTTAAATACCCCCTCCCTGCTAAATATGGGAATGTTTGATATCAAGCTAACACATGGGGTGGAGTGGGGGGGACAGATCTGAGATGCAACTTGTGTGCATATGGGATGTGCCCAATCTCCCTTCCCCTCATTAAGCCACACCCCATAAGCTTGATTAAAGTTGCTGAAAGAGTAGAATGTCTGGATGTTGGCAGCTTCCGTTGTCCAAAGGAAGAATAGCTCTTCAAGTGTGAATATTCCTTATGACTTCTGGATGAAGAAGAGTAGAAGAGTTTGGATTTGACATCCCACTTTCACTGCCCTAAGGAGTCTCAAAGCGGCTAACAATCTCCTTTTCCCTCCTCCCCGCATAACAAACACTCTGTGAGGTGAGTGAGGCTGAGAGACTTCAGGGAAGTGTGTCTAGCCCAAGGTCACCCAGCAGCTGCATGTGGAGGAGCGGGGAAGCGAACCCGGTTCACCAGATTTCGAGTCCACCGCTCTTAACCACTACACTACGCTGGTGTTAGTTCTGCCTAAGCATCCTCCATAGGCCTACTTATACAGCAGTTCCTGATTTGCCCTTCTCATGTTTATAATGTGTGTGTGTTTTCAATAATAAAACTTTCTATTTTAAAACACAGTTGGAGTATCTTTATTTCCCTCCCGCCTTTTTAATACTTCACTCAGAAACTGGAGATTCAGAAGTTTGTGTCTTTTTTTTTTACAGGTTGCTGCCCCTGCTCACATTGCGTCCCAAACCCACCACCCCCATTTCCAGTCCCCCACCCCCCTCCCTTTACAACTCACCCAAACCCCCCATATCTACACAGGTCCTCTCATGTCCCTCTGTCCCTGCTTTATTCAGTTATCTGCTGTTGTTGAAAACCTGCCTCCTCTTTTGTTCCTCTCCTACACCTTGATTTCATGCAAATCCAGAATTGTGATGTGGCACTGCAAATCCTCCAATTAAATGCAATGACAGCTTTACATTCTTACGTATATAGAAAGAAATTCCACCTTTCCTTGAATGAGCTCAAGGTGGTGTACATGAAATGATGATGATGATGATGTGTATGTGTATGTGGTTCTCTCCCCTCAAATTTATTTGCACAACAACCCAAGCATTAAAAAATAATAATATCTTCCTCCTTCCAGACCATCAGCTCTGCCACCCAGGAGCTGCATTCTATCAAGCTGCTCACATGAACTGTCCTATGTAAGTGCCAAAATCTTTGGATTGCATCCAACTAAGTTTTATTCTGAGCAGACTAATAGAAAATAATGGTCCCGAGTTAATTTTTTAATTCATATTGCCGCCCTTCCTCCTGAATAAATCCTATGTAACAATGAAGAAATAAAACACTAAATCATCTTGAACTGTCCAATGCAGATCCACACTGGGAAAGATCTCAAAAGGCTTGTTGAAAGAGGAAAGATTGCAGTAGGCCCCCAAAATATCTATAATACCTGGTGAAGGATTTTCCCATGAGTGTTGGGTGGATTCTTGCTACAGTCTGAACAGTTTATGTATTCAATAAACATTTGCCATATGTTATAAAAGGAATAGGGATTTTGCTTGCCCCTTTTCTTCTCTGGCCACACTCTGGTATACCAAGAATCAGTGTTCAGCCCAACACCAGTTTTCCAGCATCTGGCTATCTCCGTACAGGCAACTGTCAATAGAAAGGCTAAGAGGTCATAATTAGGGTAATCTTCACCTAAGTAGTGCTAGTGCAAGAGATATTTCAATGGTTTTGTCATACATCAAGCTTATTTCTTTGAAGACAGCAATCTTAAAAAGTTTCAACAGTCACTTGGACTACAAAAGCCATCCATTTTTTATTTGGTATGTGGGTTTAACAAGCATTTTAACAGCTGGTTTAAATGGTACCATGACCATTTAAGGTTTGGTATGTCAGCTATGAATAGTTCTTTTTGTAGAGAAATACCATTTTCATAAAAGTCTCTTAGTCTCTAAAGTCCACCTGTTCCAACCATTCCAGTCTAAGCATTCGCCTTCTTTTTAAAAGGATTGATGGAAGCAAAGGGGAGATACTGTAAGAGGCTATTTTTTAAATATTTTCCAAACATTCAGTGTAGTGAGGAGGAAAGGGTTTATAATGGTATGATTTTTAGTGAGTGAAGAGGTAGGAAAGATATTCTCAATATATTGGATATGAAATGAACCCTCCACTTCCATACATAATTCTGGAGCCTAGTTGCGCTTTCCCCCTTCCTGTATGAAGTTTATTGAGCACTGCCAAACTTTAATTGAGTGTTTATTGAGTGCTGCCAAATTGCTTAGGTGTTATCATTCTTGGCAGCACATGAGAAAAAATTTTTTTGGGAAGGATAGCCATATTTACAGAAGCTATATATTCTGACCATGATAAATGTAGGTCATTCCAAGATCTAAGATCCCATCATACCTGTAAAAAATAATGGTGTAAAGTTTGTTTTCTTTGAGCTGATGAGATTTTTGCACTCCCAAATATTTTATTACCTTGCGGCAGATTTTACAGCTCATCTGTTTTTGAATGATTGACTGTTCAGATGGAATAATAGCCATATAGATTAAATTCCAATTTGGATTTGTTGATTTTTAATCTGGCCATTTTACCAGAATTGCTTAGTTCTTTCATTAATACAAGTATTGCAGCTTTAATATAAAAAAAAGGCAGCAATGCTAGAGAAGAAAGAAGGGGAAGAAATTGACTCATTTCCTCTTTCTACAACTTCTTGGTCATTCCAGCAAAGGCTATTGCTCTACGCGGTGTAGCTGTGGCTTCAGCTGTTTTCTGGCAAACTGCTGTAAAAATCACGGTGGGCTCTCAGTTTTGCGACAAGTTCCCTAAAACAAACCACGGAAGTCAACAATGAAACTAAAGGCAATGCATTTTGTTCTCCCTCAACAGCACATGCAGATACTGTTGTCTTGACCATTGGATCTGTTATTGGTCTCATCTGCTCAGTCCGCCTGAGCCTGTCTTTGCATGCAGGGGAAGTCTCTAACTCACTGAGGATTAGAGACCCATCAGTTGCTCTCACCTGCCTTAGCCAGCCAACCAAAGTGGTTTCCAGATGTGGCTGCTGTCGCATGCTGACAGCTTCTAGGAGCCACAGGTGAGAGCGGAGTGCAGGGTGAGGACCAAAATTGACAAACTGCTCCAGTAGGAGCATGACGTGTCCCCACCAGAGGTATTACCTTATTGGCCCGAATATAAACCTCAGGTTTTTTTTCAAATTCCAGCCGTGAAAAGTTAAGTGCAGTTTATATTCAGAACCAAGCGCTATGTGCCCGCCTCCCGACACTACTGCCCTGAATGGGGGATGTGGGGGCTGCCAGCTCCGCCTTGGGGAGGCCGTGCTGGGAGGCGGTAGTATGGGAGGTGGGTGTGCAGTGTGCTCGGAACCAAGCGCCAGCGTCGGCCACCCCCCCCGGTCAGGGCAGTAGTACCAGGAGGCGGGCCGCACCCACAAATTAGCCTTCAATTTTAAAGGTGCAGCTTCTTTGTGGGTGCATCTTATATTTGGGCCAATACAGTACCTCTCCTATAACACCCCCCATATATCACAATTGCATATTTCGCGATATCACACAGTCGTGATATACAATCACGAAAGCATACCATGATTTCGTGCCACAATGCCACAGAATCACGATTTCACGAATCACGACCACACAATAATGATATCTTAATCTCACGCTATGATACGAAATGTGAAAAGAATGCAAAGAATGAAAAAAATGAAAATAATGCAAGCCGAGGGAACTGGACAGAGGACCAGAGGAGGCTGCCTTGTAGCAAGTCAGACCTCAGATTCATCTCATTCAGTCCTGCCAGCCCTGACTGCAATATGCCCCTCTTGCCCCCCTCGCCAGCCAAGCGGCTGCTCCAGCCCTGCCAAACTGCCTTTCCCTCCTCGGGAAGCCACAAAGGTCTTCCTCCTTGAGGACCCCTGACGTCCAGAGCCAACCAGACACCCCCAAAGCACTGCCGCCCAAGCTGGGGCAAGGAGCCAGACAACTCTGGAGTTGCCCACTGTCAGAAACTCACCTGCCCTGGGACTTCTTGGGAGGAGGAGGTGAGGCAGTGCAGAGGGCCGGATTTAAGTTTGATGTGGCCCTAAGCTACTGAAGGTAATGGGGCCCTTTATATGTCCAGCTGTTCTTTGTCAACAACAAATTGTCGCTGGGTTTTTTGTGTGTTGAATATATGCTTCACGGTAATTGATGGACCTCATAGGTATCTCAAGTCATTTGCACATCACAAAAGATGTATTTTATTAAAGTCATTGTTGAACTGAAATACAATTAAGAAGAAGTATATTCATAGTGAAATAATTATTCAGCTCTAACTTGAAATGATTTTTCATTCATAAACTTAATACTGCAAACACATTGGCATTGGGCAAGAACAAAAGTTCCTTTAGGAACACAATTTACAAAGACTAATCATCTAGTCTCTAGAAACTTGCTGTAACATGAAATAATGATAGGTGTAAATACGTGATGCAAACGACTCATAATGATAAATAGCTTTATTCATATGAAATTAAGTGTTATAACCTGTACAATGCAACTGTAATTCATACAATGCATTTTTTAAATATACTATCAATATCACTGTTCATTGGGACAGCAGACCTTTGTACCCTGTTACACTTAGTGAGTATAAAAGACGGTATTTCTAGTAATAGGTCACATTCATAAATAATACAAATACTATACATGCCTGTACATCAAAAAATTATTTAACAGGTCTAATTATATGAATGCATCTACCCAATACCCATTCAATTGTATAATTTTATCATGATTCATTGTTAAATTGCTGTTTGAGGG